CCCCCTGGGGAATAGTTAGGATTAGTCAAGAGAAAGTGTCAATGAAAACAGTAACACAGTCTTAAACACAAAATGAAGCAACAGTGAATGTTTACCGTACTAAGAGGACAAACAGCGTGAAGTTGGGAGGGGAGTTCTGGGAATATTCTTCCAGAAAAAAAAGCTAATTGGTAAAAATACAGGTGTAGCGGTAGGTACAAAAATCCAGGCACAGACAACGAGGCACCACCAAATTGGGGAGATATGGATTTGATGGGTGGACTGTTCGGTGGATAAGGAATTGGTTGGATGGTCGCATCCAGAGGGTAGTGGTCAACTGCTTGATGTCCAGACGGAGACCAGTGACAAGTGTTGTCCCTCAGGGTCCATACTGGGACCAGCGCTGTTTAATATTTTCAGCAATGATGTAGTGAGATCGAGTGCACCTTCAGCAAGTTCACAGATGACGCCAATCTGAGTGGTGCGGTTGATACATCAGAAGGGCGGGATGTCATTCAAAGAGACCTGGAGAAGCTGGAGAGGTGGGCCCATGTGAACCTCATGAAGTTCAACAAGGCCAAGTGCAAGGTCCTGCATCTGGTCGGGGCAACCCCCGGTATCAATGCAGGCTGGGGGATGAAGGGGATTGAGAGCAGCCCTGCCAAGAGGGACTTGGGGGCACTGGGGGATAACAGCTGGACATAAGCCAACTTGCAGCCCAGAAGGCCAACCGTACCCTGGGCTGCACCAAAAGCAGCGTGGCCAGCAGGTTGAGGGAGGGGATTCTGCTGTTCTGCTCTGTGCTGGTGAGACACACACCCCCCTGCAGCCCTGCATCCAGCTCTGGGGCCCTCAGCACAAGAAGGACATGGACCTGTGGGAGGGGGGCCAGAGGAGGCCACAAAAATGATCCGAGGGCTGGAACCCCTCTGCTATGAGGACGGGCTGAGAGAGTTGGGGTTGTTCAGCCTGGAGAAGAGAAGGCTGTGGGGAGACCTGATTACGGCCTTCCAGTACTTAAAGGGAGCCTATAGCAAATATGGGGACAATCTTTTTAGCCAAGCCTGCTGTGACAGGACAAGGGGTAATGTTTTTAAACTAAAACAGGGTAGATTTAGACTGGATAGAAGGAAGAAATTCTTTACAATGAGGATGGTGAAACACTGGCACAGGTTGCCCAGGAAGATGGTGGAGGCCTCATCCCTGGAAACATTCAAGGCCAAGTTGGATGGGGCTCTGAGCAACCTGATCTGGTTAAAGCTGTCCCTGCTCCCTGCAGGGGGGTTGGACTAGGTGACCTCTAAAGGTCCTTTCCAACTCAAAGCATTCTATGATTCTGTGATTCTGTTCGTGCTTGCCAATCTCTCTGCGACTCTAGCTACTGCTAGCTTGAGATGTTGCTTACCAAACAAGAGCATGTGCTGCTTCACCTGTGAACGGCCATGCAAGGTTAACTGTGAGGCAGCAGTGATGTTCCCTGTTTTTTCTTGTGTGGAAAAATAAATCTGGAAAGCTATGGTGAGTAACGCCCTCAATTCTCAGAGCTTATTTCAAATAGGGCACTGTTTATTAGGTAAGTAACATAGATTGGGGCCACATTTGCATAATAAAGACTAATGCTACTGTAAATTATATCGTGCTCTCTGCAATAGCGTAATTACAGACTTTATGGTCTATAAACATCGTATTGAAAGACAATTGAGCCCAAGCACGTGCTAACCTGTTTGCATCTTGTCCTTGCAGATGGAACCAATACCTGTAACTGGCGGAGGACATTATGTAGCAACAGCGTTGGTGTAATTTATTGATTTGGTGCAACACAATGAAAACTGGATGGCAGTTTGTTTGCCAAATTCCACAGCAACCCTTCCACTTTCAACAAAAAGGCGTTTGACCCTTTTGGTTGCACTAGCACTAAATTGTGCTCAAAACATGAGTTAGTGTGTTATAAAGACTACTTACCTTTAAGGTGTAGGTGGCTTTTCTTCTTCTGAGGTACAGTCGTTATCTCTTGATGCAAAACTCTTAGCAATAGCAATAGCATCCTAGGGCACCTCTTATGCTACTTTTTTTGGCCAAGGGAGGCAAAGTTAGTTTGTGGTTTGTTTTTTTTTTTTTAAATTAAGCATTTCCCATAGCAGTATACACAACCCTAGTGTTGAAATAGGGGGTTGGGAGCTCAGGCTCATGGTTTCAAGTTTCAAATCACTTTTTGCCTGATTTTTTTTTTTTTCTCAGAACCGCTTTACATCAGTTTCTTCCACTAAAGTATGTAGTTTGGTGGACTGGCCTTGTCCTTTCCTGTCCATCTGCAGAGATGTATTCCAAATGCTTAACTGAGTGACAGCATGTGCATATGCAGAGGGAATGCTGCCAGTACTAACAGTGACACGGCACTGGCTTCACATGACTCGTCTGGGAGGGGACAGCCAGCTCCTGCTTGGAAACACACCCCGTTGCCTTTGACTAAACCCTCATAAAGTTTCCACAGCAGCAGTGAAAGGTGAGGAGTTGCACTCTGGGCTCTGAACAGACACAAAGGACCTCTCCTAGGCTACCATCAGCCAAAGAATGGGCAGGCAGAGTTCAGGGGTGTAGCAGCTTGAAAAAGAGATGACAGAAATTTTGAGGAAATAATGAAAAGGCAATGTCGTCTGTCTGTTTAAAGTACAGTTGTAAGCTTTTCTAGGAACTGTGGTTGCCTTCAGATCTGGGCAGTGCTTGGCACAGTAGGACATCCACCAAACACGACATCTAGTCCTGTGTCTGTCCACACAGTGTGGCTGATATACCAGGTAAGCTGTCCTTATGTTTTCCTTTCTTTATGTTCTATACTTTCATGGATAGTCGTAGCCTGTTTTCTCGCAGGCATGGTTGTTTTCCAGTGTCTATGCACTGTACAGGTTGATTCCAGTGAAGTCAGGTCTACCACAGAAGATTCCAGCAGGAGGGAAAAAGGAATACCAAGCAACTGTGGTAGGCAGCCAGTCCATCGCAGCAGAAGTTCCTTTCTTCTTCTGAGGTACAGCCATTATCTCTTGATGCAAAACTCTTAGCAATAGCAATAGCATCCTAGGGCACCTCTTATGCTACTTTTTTTGGCCAAGGGAGGCAAAGTTAGTTTGTGGTTTTTTTTTTTTTTTTTAAATTAAGCATTTCCCATAGCAGTATACACAACCCTAGTGTTGAAATAGGGGGTTGGGAGCTCAGGCTCATGGTTTCAAGTTTCAAATCACTTTTTGCCTGATTTTTTTTTTTTTTCTCAGAACTGCTTTACATCAGTTTCTTCCACTAAAGTATGTAGTTTGGTGGACTGGCCTTGTCCTTTCCTGTCCATCTGCAGAGATGTATTCCAAATGCTTAACTGAGTGACAGCATGTGCATATGCAGAGGGAATGCTGCCAGTACTAACAGTGACACGGCACTGGCTTCACATGACTCGTCTGGGAGGGGACAGCCAGCTCCTGCTTGGAAACACACCCCGTTGCCTTTGACTAAACCCTCATAAAGTTTCCACAGCAGCAGTGAAAGGTGAGGAGTTGCACTCTGGGCTCTGAACAGACACAAAGGACCTCTCCTAGGCTACCATCAGCCAAAGAATGGGCAGGCAGAGTTCAGGGGTGTAGCAGCTTGAAAAAGAGATGACAGAAATTTTGAGGAAATAATGAAAAGGCAATGTCGTCTGTCTGTTTAAAGTACAGTTGTAAGCTTTTCTAGGAACTGTGGTTGCCTTCAGATCTGGGCAGTGCTTGGCACAGTAGGACATCCACCAAACACGACATCTAGTCCTGTGTCTGTCCACACAGTGTGGCTGATATACCAGGTAAGCTGTCCTTATGTTTTCCTTTCTTTATGTTCTATACTTTCATGGATAGTCGTAGCCTGTTTTCTCGCAGGCATGGTTGTTTTCCAGTGTCTATGCACTGTACAGGTTGCTTCCAGTGAAGTCAGGTCTACCACAGAAGATTCCAGCAGGAGGGAAAAAGGAATACCAAGCAACTGTGGTAGGCAGCCAGTCCATCGCAGCAGACGTTCCCTGTGTGCCTGCCAGCAGCAGGGCTGTTGGGCTGGCATCAGAAGGACACAATATAATGCTGGGTACAATAGAAGGAGAAGTGGGCGCTTGCCCAGCCTCAGCTTGGGACTGTCCGGGCAACAGAAATGCAAGGGGACAGCAGAGATGGGACATAAATAATAATGTAAATGTTAAAGTAAATGTAAAAAATATGGCAGTTCTTTCCTTTCAGATTACGCTGAGCATTTTAAAACATGACTTGGACAAACTACCTTTTTCTGATGTGAAAAATTCAGTGAAAACAGATCTGTGACTTAATGAACAGTCGTTGGACAAATTATTAAGTACTTGGAAATAAAAATAATTAAAAAGTATTAGAATTCTTTATTGACTAGTGTATGTTTCCCCTTTAACATCAAGAGACTGATTGGAAAAACAATTACTTTTACTTTAGGGTTGAGAATTTGTTTTGGATCAAATTTTGTGCTAGCTAATTTGAAATAACCGAAAAGGAACTTTTGTTTTTGCAAACAGCACCAGTTGTAGCTGATATTTGGAAATAGCTGCAGGCAGCTGAGATCTTCACTGGTTGATTCGGGGCTGTAGAACATGCCAACAGGAGATCGGTGCCAAGCATTTGAATGGCTTTTTTGTTTGCTGAAATAACCATGGTTACACGAATGCTTTTTTTATGTATTTGGTGTATTCTGAATCAGAAGAAACATTACCCAACAAAAAAGAGTAGGTAATGAGATGTTGGGGAAAACCTAACCCATCAAAATTTATCTTGTTTTAATGTAAATAATGTAAAAATGTATCTGGTAAATGTGACTTAATAAAGGTAGTGTACTGAGATTTTGGGGGAGAGGGAGGGCAAGCAGACATAGCAGTCCTGTTTCAAACTGGAAGTCTTTGCCCAAGCAAGATTTCTATCATAATTCGATTATTTTAAAAGGAGTGCTACTAGAAATGTGATTATAATTGTAACTCTTTCCTAAACTCACAGAATATGAGACTCAATCGAGCAATGGCTCTTTCTCCTCCTAAAAACTCAAAGCAGGGTCACATTTTCTGCTGTGTTTTGCTCTCTAGCTCTTCGCATGTGAAGAGCCAGCAGGGTTTGGCTCAGCACTGGTGTACGGAGGAGCCACGCTGGAGCAGCAGCCTTCCAGCAAGCAGCCACCTGGGAGACCCCTTTTATGTCTGCCTCTCTGAGGTCTAATCTTGCCTACTACAAGGTCATCAGAGCAGAATCATCTCCCACTTGATTATATCAGAGAAACTTGATGTATCAGAGGAAATAAATATACAGAAGATCTCATAGACTGGTCCTGGTAGCTCCCAAAGTCTAATAGTGAGGAGCTCTAGATCTGGGGAAAGGCACCGTGACTTCCTTAACACATTCTCATTTTAAGGAATAGCACCCTAGGGCACCTCTTGTGCTACTTTTTTTGGCTAAGGGAGACAAAGTTATCTTGTTTGTTTGTTCGTTTGTTTTTTTAAGTTGTTAGTATTACCCATAGCAGCAGATACAACCCCAGCGTTGAAACAGGGGGTTGGGAGCTCAAGCTCATGGTTTCAAGTTTCAAATCACTTTTTGCCTGATTTTTTTTTTTTTTTCTCAGAACCATTTTACATCAGTTTCTTACACTAAAGTATGTAGCTTGGTGGACTAGCCTTGTCCCTTTCTGTCCATGAGTAAGCAGGAACCCGAGCAGAAAGAAGTGTCCGATTTTTCTGTCCCATGCCCCCTTGACCTTCATGCCACCATGTACCGCAGGGAAACAGCTGGACACACCTGCAAATAAACAGAGTTGCATTGTAATAATGTACCCATAAAGCTATCATTTGAAAGCTAAAGTCTTACCTCCTGGCTAACACGGGGACTTCTTTTTGGCAGCGTATTCCTCCTTTCTGAAACACTGCAAGAGGAGTACTCCCAAGAGGCTTGTTAGCACCATAAAGGTAATAGAATATCATCTTTCTAATGAATAATTTCCCAGCTGTTTTTCTTTGTACCTTAGACAGGTGCCCTTCTACCTTCTTTGTACTTTCCTTTTTACTGTAGGTAACATAGCCTGTGCTTGAATATTCTTCTGTATATGAAAAGCAAACTAGATTAAATTCTGCAATCCTCAGTAATCTGGCCTTCATATTATTAGAATTCACATGCTTATTCTTAAAGACTGGATGAAAGCAAGAAAACCTTAAGGAATGTTTTGTCAGCTTTCTCTAATTACAGTTGATGGTAAGAGTGAAGCAATATAAAAACAGCTAGGCAATAATCCCTAGGACAGCCACAGCACGTCCTGAAATAGAGAGATTAGAGGGATCTTTCCACGGCCATGGGCAGCAGTGAAGCCCCAGCAGCTACTTAAACCTTGGGCTTGATTTTTTTATTTTATTTTTTTTTTTAACCAAATGGTCAAGCCAGAGCCAAATGCAGGGAGATTTGTCACAAGGTGGCCACCTGTCTGTTTAGGACTGTAAACCTTCAAATTGACCATAGCGGGACTTGAGGCAAAGACGATTTTCTCACTTACCATGTTCTTAAGCGGTTCCTCGGCCACATGAGTGAAGGTGGTATGGGGCTCTGCTGTGTTAATTCTTTGAGGCACAAACTCACATTGTTGTAGCTGGACATCCTCGTTAGTTTAACAGCATGCCGTCGTTATGGAAGAGCGCGTGTCCCATGTCATCATTTCCTTGCAGTCTCTGAAGGGCTGGAGCTCCTACCGAGAGCAATGTATTCCTGGGCCAGACCAAGGGAGGCAGCCATGCCGTAACACACCAGTGCCACGATCAAAAGCTTTGGTTTTGGCTGTTGTCCCCGTTTTCTTTCTTACCCTTGCATCCCTGTTAGTCTTCTGGCACAATACAAACTCATCAGGAAATAAGGGGATTTTTTTTCTTCTGAAGAGCTCAGCTTTGCTCCATGGCCAACATGAAGGAGGGAGCAGGACAAGGACAGGGTACAGGGAGTAAATATTTTACAGTTTTGCAACTGAGCTCAAAGTTGAGGGGATTTGCTGTTGTCAGCAGTGTCTTCTTCCACTTTCCAGCTGTACAAGGTTCACTTACTTAGATCACATCTTATTTCAGATGAAAGGAGACTCTGGATATTCCACCACAGCTGAGCAGCAGAAGCAGGTAAAGGCTCGAGGTCATCTTTTAACGAATGTGTTGTGCAGGTGGCCTGGAAGGCTGGGTGTGGTGAACCATCTTCTAAGAGCAGTGACAGACACATCCACGCTTTGATCACATTAGCACAGCTAGGAGCGCATCTCTTACCACTACAGCAACATTTCCCCAGCATTTTTTCCCCTTTCGGTGGACTGCAGCTACAGCACCAAGTGGCGAAGGGCCCGTTCTCTTTGCTTGCATGGCAAGGGACCACAACATTCAACTGTAGCCAGAAGCTGTGCCACCATCTGGGCCCAGTTCTCAAAGTGGTCCTGCTAAACAGTGTGTTTCCCAGCTGATGTGCCCCAGTCTCGCCACCTTGCAAGCAGCAACCCTGTTCTGCACTTAAGTAGTTTGACAACTTATACAAGCCCTTTAAGGGCAAGATGTCAAGCGATCCAGGGATGAGAGTTTGGAAACTACTGTGCTGGAGTGGGTTAGCATGAAGAGAAACACGGTGTTAGCACTTGGACTCCATCAACAAGAATTTTTTTTTCCCTATGTAAACTTCCCTGCTTCTACAGCTCATGTAATTATACTGTGTGGGATTCCTTCAGGTAATTACTTCATCACGTGCAGTAAAAACACAGCCTCAAAACAAGACAGTTTCTTGCCAAAGGGCTTTTAAAATAGCTTAAGGGCTGAGCTTTAACTACTCTCTCTTCTACCTCAAAGCAGGACATACACAGTGTCTGATGAGTATTAGCAGTTACCAGTCTTTGAAAGTCTGTGAGTTCTTCAGCTGGAAGAAGCTAAAGAATCTGAAGTACTATTTGGCCTAACTAAAAATTCTGACACTTGTAAGACGTCAGAGTTTTTCTTTGGTATGTTCATTCTTCATCCCAGGAGGCACACAGATTTATAGGATATGATTCTGTTAAAATCTCAAAGCTTTTTACAGCTTTTGTAACCTTTTCTCTAAAGAATGTGTAGATGGTGTTTCAGGGTCTAAAGATTAAGAAAGTCAGCATATGTGAGGCATAACATGGATGCAATTGGAAGCACGAAACTGCTAAGAGAGCAAATCTCCAGCCCAGAATCCAGCACACGCTACCTGAAACTGGAACAGATGGCTTTCGCCAGCCTTGCCTTTGTAGTTCAATACACCCAGTGATAACGCTGGTGACTGATTGCATTGCTTCTAATATAAACCTGTGGGATTCACAAACATCAGGCTGCAAGGCAAGAGTCCTTTAAATTACTTCCTCCCCAGTTGCTAACTTGATTAAAAAAAAGAGATGATAGAAGCAAACGTTTGTTTGTTCTAACGAGGAAAGTTTCAGTGCTAATGAGCAAAGTTCTGTCCTGGGACAGATAAATATTGCTGACGAGAGTCCTGGGCGACGTTTAATGTTCTCTAGCTGTTACAGAATCTTTAAGCAACTCTTAGCCCTGAAAGCCACATAGAGAGGATTCCTCTGTATTGTGTTACCCTAAACACACCTGCATTCAATATTTTTTAGTGAGCTGTCTCTCTTGGTTGTCCTCTCTGACAGGAGACAAGCAGGAGAGCAGCTAGGAATCATACTATTTTTACTCCAGTCTGGTTTTGCAGCACACCAGCACAGTTGAAAAACAAGAAGGATGGAGTAATGAACAAGACACTAGCTAGTTATTACACAACATTCTTTTAGAATTGCATTGACTGGTTTTTTAAATCACTTATCCTGCAGATAAATGTAATGCATATATGCCCAATAAAACCCAAATTAAGATTTCTGAACTCCAGAACCAATTCCAGTTTGGGCTACTGTAAAAGACAGATAGTTAATTAAATATTTGTCATATATTTAATAAACAACTTGGGTTTGAATACTTAAATGCTCAAATATATTGAATACTGCTTTTTGAATATAGTTATTCCTGGAATCGAGAGGTCTTGCTGTTAATTTTCTGACTCTTGCAGTTGCTTTGTGTAGTTAAAATCCTTGTTGTGGTAGCAGTTGTGCTACCATCAACAGGTGTCCTTATGCTGTACACAGGAATACGTCTTTAGTAGATAACATTTCCATGATGAGAGCAGGGATTTAGAGAACTGCATACTTTTGAAAATTTGCATATTTTAGCTCCATGTTAATGTGCAGTTGTACCTGCAGGGGCCTAAAGGTACTAATTCACAGGAAAGTGAATTACGCAAGGAAAGGCAATATCCTGTATTAAACCTCTGTAGTACTTGGGGGGGAAAAAAGACAAGCTTCTGGGCATGTGAGCCTGACTTCAGAATCGGTCTTCAAAGCAAAGAAGAAAGTTGGGAGGAGCGGCTCTGGATTAACTGGAGCTGTTAACCAGATCATCTGAGCACAACAGTTCTCGACCACCGCAGGGAGAAAGCGTACTGCATACTGGGAGGGAGAATATACCAGTAGGGTGAGGGAAGTGCCGAGAACCCTTACCCCCAGGTCTCCCATGCCTACTGCTCCGAGTTATCCAGGAGCCCCTTATATTATAGTCCTCCGGGTGCTGAGAATCATGCCCAATAAAAACAAGGAGGAAAAAAAATCAGTGGTACTTTCTCTCCCTTTGGTTATTCCAGAGAAATTCCATGTCTGTGACACTTCAGGTGACATGGTAGATGGATGTGTGTGTATCTCCCCCTCAATTACAGACAACATCCCATAACAGCTTTGTCAGTATGTTCTTTAGAGTATTTGTGAAACAAAACGGGCCGTCATAGGACTGCCTCGACCTCCTGCATTTCAAATGCAGAAAATGCTAGTGCAGGACACAGCAGCACGTGCTTATTCTTGTTGCTTGCTCACAGGAAGAGAAGCTCTGGGGTGCCATGAAGATCACTGCCTGTGTCCTTGGTACAGGCCTGCTCATATTCACTGCCTTAGTGAACTCTGTTTCTTGGTAAGACTGTTCAAACAAAGGGGCTGGAGGAGAAACTTTTCTGTGGAGAGGGGGAAAAGTGGATGATGGAAAGATGGGCAACCAAGAACACTTATTCCCGCAGGTACGTGCAGAATATCTGGGACGCGTCAGGCCATTTCTGGCAATCAATATGGCTAAAGTTCTACTACCTGCTTGAGGGAAAGGAGTGGACGATCTTCCTCCTTGGTGAGTTGCTCAGGTTACCACCCCTCTGCTGTGGGAGGAACTATCCATGTATTCCATCTAAAAGGGGGATGTGGACATGCCTTCCCAGACTCACTAATCCTCCCACTGAAAAAGCACATGTAGGCTTCAAAGCCAGCTGATGTGCAACTGTGCTGCCTTTGGACTGGTTCATCATTAGACCCCCTATACAGATTGAAAATGTGATCTTTTTGCTGCTACTGAAATGGTTTCCCTTTGAAAACACACTCTTTGCTCCTTTGAGAACTGAATGACTCAGTAGAACGAATTACGGAAAATTAAAGTAAAATTAGTGAATTTTACTTTTGCTGTAGCACCTATAAAACTCTTCTCTGCCTGTGATTAACAGCTGGGGAACAGGCCTGGTAGGGACATTCAAAGGCCCCAGGGATCAACTTGCCCTTATCCAACTTGTATTTAAAATCCACCCACAACAGAGATTCCCCCAGCCTCCCAGAAAAGCCCTTTCTGAGCCTCAGTTGTGGCAAGTTTCAGCCTACAAGACACTTGTCTACTCTAACCTCCTCCTTGTTCCCTAGGTATTACCCAGGTGTTAGAACCTCCCCATATTCCATTTTAAAGCTTCTCAGGGCAGGGGATACACACCTGGCACATCTGGATCCCAGCAAGGTCCTCTGGATGCTACGCCGCTGTATTTTGTTTTCGATTTAGCCATAGCTCTCAATTTATTCACACATCTCTGCCCTTTCCTCACACCACAGGGACTGCAGTGTTCCCTACCCTTGCTTTCTGGTGCTTCAATGGAATCCTTCTGGTGGCCGATGTAACAGGAAAGCCAACCTTCATTACTCGCTATCGCATTCAGCTGGGCAAGAACAATCCTGTAAGTATTTCTCTGCTTCTTCTGCTGGCCAAACACCTCCTCTTCAGCAAAGAGCAGGGAGAAGAACCTGCTATGCTTTTCTCTTGCAACCAGAGAGGATTCGAGGAGAATCAAGCTGAGTCTTGTATATCCACCGCAGAGAGGAAGGCAGTTCTTGTAATTAGGCTACTGATTAGATCTGAATTGATGGCTTGTTGAAAAGTTGATCCCCAAACTAACACAGAAACAGCCTACAGACCTTAAAGCTCTTTATCCTCCCAACTCCAAGCCACATTGCTTCTGGTTTAGCCTCAAGTTCTGACTTCTCTTTTACAGGTGGACACAAAGAAATTGCGCCACGTCATCTACACAGTGCTGTGTAATCAGTTCTTTGTCTCCTTGCCCATGCTTGTGCCCGTGTTCTATGTCATGAAATGGTGGGGCAACACCTTCAGCAAGGAATTGCCCACCTTCCGCTGGTTTCTTATGGAGCTAAGCATCTTCACCTTAATAGAGGAAATTCTCTTTTATTATACACACAGGTGAGCTGAGCACAGAACAGGACTCTGTGGTTTCCCCCCCCATGCCTTTAAGCTTATACCTATCTCCTGCAACAGCAATGGTCCTACCCCCCCTTCCACCAATCTTGTATGGGAGGGCTTACAGGTGCTGGAATCCACCCTTACAGCATGAGGCTTGGGCACTGTGATGCTGCTAGTAACTCTAGTAAGCAAAAATGGGTAAAATTACAAAGGTGGAGCAGCTTAGAGGCTAAGAAAAAACCAGACCAGCTAGCTTCACACAAAAGCTGTAGCCCAACATTCTTCAGAAGGAAGAGAACAAGACTGACTATCCTGAAAAAAAAAAGCTCAAGAGGTTAGTGACTGATCTCCTGTTCACTTGTAGGGCACCCGCGAAACAGGGCCCGGCTCCTGATGCTGTGAGCTTTCTAAGCACTGGCACCAACATTAAAGGAAAAACCTAAAGCAAGGAAGAAAAAAGGCCACAAACTGCGCAGAAGCAAGCACAGCATTCTTAGAACTATGTAGGTTTCCCTTTTGGAAAAGTGCCCACAAAAAAAAACCACCATAGAAAACAATTTCTTAAAGGCCCACAGAACCTAAAATTCTGCTTCTAATGTTTGCCAGTAGGTAAAGTCAAAACAGTGAAAATATAAAGTGAGTCTTCCCCTTGAGAGTATCCCAGGTTTGAGCGAATCATCCAGGGACTTTGATTCATGGGATTTATCTGGACTTAAGTTTAACATCAGTCAGTGGACACACACATTGAGCGAGAGGGAAGCTAGGAGTCCTACACTCTTATTCCCAGCTGCTCTAAAATCTTTATTTTAAAGAAGCGGAATGAGCAAGTCCCCCAGCAGAAGTTCTGTGTTAGGCTACTCTACATTCCCTTCTTACGGAGCTCAAAACCAATGTTCCTCTGTTTTCTCTGCTTAGGCTTGTTCACCTCCCGCTCCTGTATAAGCACATTCACAAGAAGCACCACGAATGGACAGCCCCCATCGGCGTGGTCTCCCTTTACGCTCACCCGATAGAACACCTCGTAAGTGGAGTCCCCCGTGGTCGCAGAGTGCCACGTCCATGGGATGAGGAGGGGTGATAGGAAAAGCAAACGCGCCCTTAGACTCTCCTCTCTTAGGAAGAGGAAGCCAAGCTGTGTTGCCAAGAAGCCTTGGGGTAGGAGGGCTGCAGCACCCAGCCACACTGAGCTGTGCTAGCTTCAAGAGCACAGACCCAGGGGCCCCCAGCAGATAAGGAATCGTCTGAACGGTGCTTCCTCGAGCACAGAGGGGGATGGGAGCATGGACGAGGCTTTCAGCATGAGACGTGCCGCTTACACAGTCTGGGTTACTGCACAGAGTCAGAATTCTGTCAAGATTTTCAGGCTGGTGGCTGGGATCAGTGTTTGCAGGAATGTCTCCCAGCGCTGCTCCAGCCAAGACTTCTCGGGCAAACACATTCCACCTTCAGAAGATTCCACTTCTCAGTACCATCTCCTGTTAACAGTGGTCCCGGCTGCTGTACCGCTGTGAGTCTCCCTCATCAACAGTCTTTGGCAGCAGAATGACTTTTTATATTCAAGAGTCCAGCTGCACCTAGCTGGTGCAGTAAGCTTGGTCTGGGCAGTGACAGCCATTTGTGCCCCAGGTAGGACACGATGCAGTGATGGAGCTGGGATCATCACATCACTGCCTTTGAGCACACGTGTCCCTGTGCCCTCGGACAGCCAGGTTTCCCAAGAGCAGCTTCAGCATTATTCCAAGGTGAAGCTGGAATTCAGACCTCCGACGCAGGGTGGTTTACCAGAATCGTGCTGCCCTCAGCCCCTGGTTTGATCTCTAACTTCTACCACGAGCTTAGGGAGCTGGGGCTGTGACTGTGTTTTGCAGTGAGTGAAACTCAAGTTAGCTCAGAGTAAATTATTTCTTTGATTATGATGTGATGTTAGTAAGATGTTTGTAGAGGCATCTTCCCTTCATGCTGTTGTACAAAACTAACCCCACGCATCACCCAGGGGAAACAATGCAGCTGCCAGGGGAGAGCCAGCTCTTGCTGTGGACTGATTAACGAGGTAGAGTTTGCTTCTCATTCCTAGGTCTCCAACTCACTGCCTGTCATGGTTGGCCCGATGGTCATGGGGTCTCATGTTGTTTCCATCGCAGTCTGGTTCTTCCTTGTTTTCATAACAACAAGCATTTCACACTGTGGATACCACCTGCCCTTCCTACCATCGCCGGAGTTCCACGACTTCCACCACCTCAAGTAGGTCTGGGCACCACTGGCTTCCCCTTCCCCTCCCGCCTGCGCCCCGGCCCCGCTGCGGGCAAAGCTCCTCTCCGAGGGGTCAAGCGGGTTTGCATAACCCGGGTACAAGCGGAGAAGCCTTACAGCTGGTGCGACAGCAGGCTGAACGCTGTCAGTTCTTAAAGCCCTTAAAGAGAGAACGGGATTTCAGACCCCAGCCCACTGCCCACGAAACTGCCAGCCACCTCGCTGCCATCTACCCTCCTCCATCAGCTGACTCGGAAACATTCTCCAAAGCACAAACACCGCAGCTAGGGCCAGGCGTTTCACGTTTCCCAAGATTGCATGGGAGGAAAGAGAGCACATAGCGCCTGAAGCAGCAGGCGTCACCTGGACTTCCCCCGGCACAAGCACGGGGTCAGACAGTTCTCTGCAGGGCTCTTCCTAGAAGTTTAGCAGACACGGCATGTGATCTAGAATAAAGACAGAGAAAGGGCAAGTCACACAGCCGAAATAAATTTGCAGGGACCCTCCCAGTCTGTCCCTCTCCTGTACTCTGGGAATAGTAACACCGATCAGATAACACCTTGCCCAAATAACTGCAATTAACCTTTCCTGGCAGAGATTCCCTGCCTTCCACACTGGAGAGAGCAGAGTTTCAGCAGGTTGTTCAGGAATACATACCGTAGCGGTGGAAGAAGTGTTCCCATCTCCCAGATGTGCATGGAATTCATAGCCATGCTCATAGAGGACGCAGTTTGCCTCTCCTGCAGAAACAGCCAGTGTGGCAGCTCTGTCGCCGCCCAAACGCTGGGCAACACCCAAACCCCAGGCACCACCCAAACCCTGCTGCCAGCTCTCATCACCAGTCATTTCCTCCAAAGCTCAGCTCCTCTCAGTTCATGCATCGCTGCAGAGCCGAGACACTCCCTGGGGGGGTAATGGCTGGGCCAGCGCCCCAGCGCTGGAAGCAGAGCAGCCCCCTGTCCCAGGCAGCCTCGGGAGCAGACATGGCCACGCCGCCGTCCAGTGGCTCCCACAGCTCTGAGCTGCCTGGGCGAGACACGGCTGCTGGCCAGTGCCACCCTTCCCAGGAAACGATGGCACTGGAGAGGGGAGTTGCAAAAGTTTCACCCAGGCTTCATTAGAGCTGAGAGAGAGATGGGTGCAGCGACAGAAATGGCACGGACGGCTTATCAGGGCTCTGGAAGGAGATGGAAACAGGAAGGGTGAGGTAACCTCAGTAACTTCCAGTGATGTTTGTTCTCTGTTTGGTTTCCAGGTTCAACCAGTGCTATGGAGTCCTGGGAGTGCTGGATTATCTGCATGGAACAGATAAGATGTTCAGACAAACCAAAGCCTACGAGAGACACAGGGTCCTACTCAGCCTCACACCGCTCTCGGAGAGCATCCCCGATGCACCCAAGAGGGCAGAGTGAACCCAGCAGCCTGTGGCTCCTGCAGAGCCCAGCAACGAGCAGAGTGAGAGACAGTGATTTACGCCAAAGAGGATTTTAATTGGGAAAGAAACTATTGTTCACAAGCAATGAAACCTGAGCTGACCTTAAACACGCTACTTGAGATGACTGTACTTTTGCTGCCTGTTATTTTCTAAGGCACAAAAAAACCTGCTCTAGAAAACTATTTTTAAATGAAGTTTAGAGGGTTTTTTCCCTTAATTACTTGCACTGTTCCTTGGTTGTAGCTGCCTGCGCGTAAGCCAGATGTGTTCTGGGCCACATGGCTTTGGGGAGTCCTCATTAGCATGGTTTTAATGCTTCAGTTTTCACAGGCCATGCTTTGGCCTCTTTCCATAGAAACACCAGCAAGATCTGTAACTACATATGACAGAAATTAAACCCACCATTTTTCTGAGACTCAGAACACTCAGGATATGGGACACAACCCCATGGAAAGTCAAGCGAGACCACAGCTTAAAAACACTGCCTCCTGCACAAGCAACAGAGGCCCAACTCCCCTCGACAGTTTCTCTTCCTGCGAGAGGTCAGCAGAGGTGCGAATGAGGGGCTGTCGCATCCTCGTCTCCGCTCTGCAAACTCACATCTGCAAACGCAAGGCGAGCTCCCCCCTCGTGGGCCAGGGAAGCTGAGCCGGGAGCCGATGTGCTGCATGGCAGAAGCCCCGGTACATCACCACCTCCTGCTGAGCCTCCTCTCGCTCCCCACACGCCAAAAGGAGGCACAAACCAGAATGACAAGCTCTGCAGAGTGATGAACTATGGAAATGAGACTTCCCAGGGCAAGAAGAGTCCCTGCTGTCCCAAGCTGTGTGGAGATCAGTGAAACCCTGCAAGAAAGATCCCAACAAAAAGCACCCGTAGCTTCATGCACATCCGTAACCACCTACACAACCCATCTCCAGACAGGCTGCAAAGTTTCTCCAGGATCTTTTTAAGTCTCAATCCTGGCTGGGGGTCTGGGACAAAAATGGCAGCTGCCTCTCACCATTGCTAGAGCCTGAGCAAACGTGCAGGGCCAACCTGCACTGCACCCGCCTGCGGCCGCCCAGCTCCACCCCTGGCAGCCGGCTCTCTTTCCCCCCCCTCCTCCAGTCCCCACAGGGATGAGCCCACAGCCCCCAGCGGAGGGCAAGCCAGCAGAACAGAAAAGCCAGGCTGCATTGTCTTTTGAAGTTTTTATTTTTATACATTTTTTTTGTATTAAAAAGGAAAAAGCATAATTACCACAAATTACAAAGGACTAAAGCATTACTAGAATAATGAATCACATCAGCCTAGAAAGCAGATACTCTGAATAATATTAATGTTATAATACAAGCTCTCATTCAAGTATTTTACATTTTTCTCTTTTCCTTTTATATGTGATGATGATCCTAGCACGTGGGTCAAAGATTATGTACTATCGACAGAAGATGGATCATGTACAGCGGGCCATATTAACAAGATTTTCCTCCCAGGTGATACATGGTCTGTGATGAGTCATTTTAAGTTTGTCTCTACGATAAATGCAGCTGAAGAAGGTTGCACACACTTTCTAGTTTTGGGAAACAGAAGGCTGAGGTTGGGACACACAGGGTTTGAGAAGGGCCAGCACATCGAAGCATCCCCCCCTTTTGCTCCAGGCGAGCGAGCAGAGGGCCGCCCTCGCCAGGGTGCAGCTCAGCGGGGAGTCCTGAGCCACAGATCCAAAGGTTTCCAACCCCAACGGCACGGGGACAGGCTGGGAGAGGAGGAGGGGGAGCGGGGCCGCACCGGGGAGGCTCGAGGGGCCAAGTGGTGCCAAGCAGCCCCTCCTGCAGGGGGCACCACCAGCACGAGCCAGCCCCCGCATGGGGCTGAGACCCCAGAGGGAGCCGCAGGGGGACAGCGTGGGGACCCCAGGGCTGACCCGGGCACGCTGCCGCTCACCGCAGGGGCTGGCTGGCACCCAGGGCGCTCCCCTGGAGCTTCCCACCGAAGGGATGTGCTTGTCACAGATACATCGGTCCTATGTTCAAGTGTCTGCAGAAAGTGATACTGTAAACTACTCATTGAAACGCTGCCCTCCAGCCACCCGCTCCGTGCCACCGAGATGAACATCCTCTTTAAAGAATAAAAAAAAAAAAGTCAGTGAGGCATTTAACGTCAAGTGTAGCAACCCTCTCAAAGAGCCTAACATCCATTTCAAAACAGTGACAGAGTGACATAACCAGTCTCAGAGGAGACAGGAGAAAATAAGCATTGCAAACACAGCTTGCTACATTTACAGTTTTCCTCTTCCCCCCCTCCCCCCCATTTTACAAAATAATTGGAAAGGCATTAACAGCTCGAAGGCCCCCTCTGCACCGCCCTGCTGAA